CTCCACGAGCAGCTTCACTTGGGCTACGGTCAGAAACAGCCCCAACCCTCCCTCTGCTCCAGGCCAGGCCCTAAACAGCCCAGGCTGTGGAAGGTGCTCCTGCCACTGCCACAAAACCATCCCCAAGGTCCCTGCCCACCACCCCACTCCACGACCCCGTGCCCTCTTTGGGGTTATTTCTTGGATGACACCAGGCACGTTTCTCTAGCACCCTTCAAGGACAACTTTCCCTCATCCCTCACTGCTCCGAAGCTGCCTGGAACACCTGGACAGGACTGAAAACCTGGGGTGCAGTGACTGCTGTCACCTCCTCGGTGACAGCCTCTCCTCCAAGTGCTGCCTGGAGCACACAGAGGATGAGCCCAGCTCCTGCACCTTCCCCTGGACTCTGCAGGCTGCCACACACAACTGCGGGGCACAAAGGGACCTTTCGCAAGGCTGAAACCCACGGTCAAAAATTAACAAGGCACACACTTCCCTGGGCTCCAGACTGGGCAGGCTCTGTTTACACTGACAGCCACTGAAAAGCCCCCTAAGCTCCTGGGAAAGTACACTTCCAAAGGGTACTCCAGGGCATGGAGAGGAACACTCGCTCCGAGCCTGGAAACGAGACCTCGACACCGATAACACAAATGATTCCATCAATTTAACACCAAACACTCCCACAGCCTGCATGTGGGGCATTGCTCCTTTGCTGGATTGTATTCCCCACTCCTGGAGCCACCTGAGCACCTCCCACCCACAGGAACACAGCCATGGGCTGTGCACAGGGGGGCACAGCCCCAGCCTTGGCACCTGCACCCTTTGGGAAAGCTCCATCCGCCCCAGGAACTCCACAGAGCAGCAGGACCCCAGAAACCAGCACCTGCAAACAAGCAATCCCACTCCTAACTGCCTGGATGTGCCCGAGTGTCTCAGGCTCCAAACTCAAGGTCACTGGAAAAAAGCAGCACTCTGCACACCAGAGCCTCTGGATACAAGGCTCATCCCAAGGGAAGACTCCTTCCCTTCAGCATTCCCTTTAAATTATTTCACCCCTCCAAACACCACCCAGAACCCACCCTGAGAGGCTTCTTTATCCTCACAACTTATTTCCCTGCTCTCTTTACCTTGACTTTCCAAGAGGTCACAGAAATAAAATATAAGTATAGATAGGAGTTTTGGGTTTTTTTTTAAAGGAAACCTGAAAAACCAAGAGGGAATGCCCTGGCTGGCAGCAAACACCTTGTCAAAAGGAGTTTTTTCTCCAGCTGAAGGAGCTGTCGGGAGCAGCAGCTCCCCAGGAGAGGTGGCTGGAGCAGGGAGCCAGGAGAAGAGGTGAGATGGGAGCCCTGGCAGAGGCAGCACAGGGCACTGTCAGGGAAACTCTGACTCTCTCAGGCCACACGCTGCTCGCTGCTCAGCCCTCCCACTGCAATCCTTTCCCACATCCACGGGAAAAGAGAGCAGGCAGCCCCCAGCCCACGCAGGGAACGTCCCAGTGCCAAGTCCCACACTGGGCCAGGAGCTCCAGCAAGGAGTTTAACCGGCACAGGAGGAGAGGCTGGTCCCCTCCGCAAGGCAAGGGGCTGCGGGACACCCAGCAGGGCAGGGAACACCTCTGCGAAGGCTCAAACCAGGGCACAGCGAGCACAGGAGCGAGCAGGGCAGGGTCACAGGAGCACAGGGGAGAGGAATGCGAGGAGGGGCAGTGCCAGGTGGGAGGGGGAAAGGAAGCCAAAGGCAGGGGCTGTACCTGGAGGGGGGCAGCAGCAGACGGTGCAGGGCTGGGGAAAAGGGGCTGAGGGGCTGGGGTGGGAGGATGGATAAAGGAGAGACCCTTAGAGGCAGTCAGACCCCTGGTGAAGAGAAGGGGGTGACACCCCAGGGCAATAAGGGGACACCTGGCAGAGGAGAACAGGTGGGAAAGACAGGGGTGGGGAAAAGGTCAGGAAAGGGAGGTGAGGGGGGCAGCTGAGAGGGGAGGGGGCCGGGGCCTGCAGGGCAGGCTGCTGACAGGGAAGGGGCTACAGGGGCACAGCTGACAGCAAAGGAACCACGGCCGGGGGAGGAAGGGACGAGGTGTGCCTGACCGGGGAGGGAACGGGGGAAGAGCTGCCGGGGAGCGGGGCACCGGGGGCACCGGGCAGGGAAGGGATCCGGGGGCGGGGGGCGTCTGTCAGGGCGGCGGGGCCCGTCCGGCCCGTTACCTGTCAGGCCTCCCGGGCGCGAGCGCAGCGGGCACCGGCGGTTGCGAGGCTCCATCCATGCGGGGCAGAGCGGGACGCAGCGCAGGGGCCGCGCCGGGGCCCCGGCCGTGCCCCCCCACCCCCGGCCCTGGGGACCCCCGCCAGCTGTCCGGGGCTGCGCTGCGCCCCGCCGCCGCGCCACGCCCCGCGCAAAAGGCGTAAATCCCGTTGGTGAATTCCGCCCCTTCCTGCCTGCAGCCGCGCCGGAACGGACAGCTCAGGGAGCCAATGGAAAGGGAGGAGGCTGACCATGAGAGATTCGCCAATCGGCGTCGAGGGGGCGGGAGCGCGGCGGCGCGAAGGGGCTGCTGGGAGATGTAGTCAAGGAGGGGCAGTGATGGCCGCCGGGTGCCCTGCCCCAAACCTGCGGGTTAGAGCCCCCTGAGCGGCTCGGACCGGCCGGGATGGGGAAGGGTCTGCGGGGGAAGCCAGGAAGGCATAGGCTGACGTCACTCAGCTTGTCCAGCCTGGACAAGAGAGAGCTGATGGTTCTGGAAAGGAACTGTCCCACCTCTGCCATGGCAGGGATGGGATCCTGCCCCAGGCTACTCCCAGCCCTGTCCAGCCTGGCCTTGGGCACTGCCAGGGATCCAGGGGCGCCTGCCATGGCAGGGATGGGATCCTGTCCCAGGCTGCTCCCAGCCCTGTCCAGCCTGGCCTTGGGCACTGCCAGGGATCCAGGGGCACCCACAGCAGCTGGGCACCAGTGCCAGGGCCTGCCCACCCTCCCAGAAAAGGATTCCTCCCCAAAATCCAATCTCAACTTACACTCCACCAGCTTACGGCTGTTCCTCCTTGTCCTTTCCCTTTTCCCTGGGAAACAAAACTCACCAGGCCAGGTTCCTGATGTCAGTTTGCAGGAGGCACTTGGCACTGTCAAACCAGCCACACTTGCCTGTGGTGGCACCTCGGAATCCAGCCATTCCAGCCCCTGGACAGGTCCCTCCAGACCCTTTCCAACGATCCCTTTCCCTCATGAATCCGGCCATTCCAGCCCCTGGACAGGTCCCCTCCAGACCCTTTCCAACGATCCCTTTCCCTCATCCTGGTGGGCTCCCTCAGGTCCCTGCTGCCCCCTGGGACCCCCGTGGCTCCCTGGGCCCGGCACCTCCCTGCAATTCCACTGTTAGACATTCCTGAGTCTGCTAGGAAAGTGTAATTAACAGTTTAAGTTTTCATCTGGAACTTGATTCCCTGGCTCCCAGACAATCCCTGCTGCGCGGCAGGAGAAAATTCCTGCTGGATTTTTCCAAAAGAGGGAGGAAAAGCCCCTTGAATCAGAAACTTCAGGACTCCTCCTTGCACCTCCGGCCTCACAAATGACAGCTGCAATCATTTGTCTCCATCTTGCAAGCCATTAACTTACTCAGCTGTGGTCAAAGTCCTTTACAGAAGGAAATTGTTAATTGTTGCCTCTGCATCAGTCCAGGTTCTAATTAAACAAATAATAATCGGGATCCATCCTCACAAAAGGGTTTTATCTCCTTTTCTCAGATGCCATCTCCATGGGGACCCAAAGCTCCACGCAGAAAATCAGGCAGGCTTCAGATGCCCTTGACGGGGAAGTTTTCCTTGCTGGTGGAGACAAAACCGGGCCATGGCAGCTGGAATTTTTCTCAGGCTGGTGCCAGGAATGGCAGGGCTGGAGCCAGGGGGATTTGCTGGTTCTGGCTGTCAGAGCTGGAGTTTGCTGATGCAGTCTGAAAGCTGGGGACTGCCACCAAGGTGTTCTGCCAGCAGCACAGCTCCTGCAGGAGCAGCACACCTTGGAGAGGATCCCCGAGGAACAGGGCAGTGGCTGCTCCAAGGACAGGTGCAGGGAGCAAGGAATGAGTCTGCCTGAGGGCTTGCCCTTTTTACAGTGTTGAAATTTAGTACAAAAGGCATTTTTCATTATTATTAATTTTAAAAGGCATTTCAATAAACACCTGTCTCCTTTTCTGTCCTCAGCCTACGCTACACAGGAAAAAAAAAAAAAAAAAGGAAATTCAGTGTAAAATCCCCACAACACAAAGTCCAATTTTACACCCCGTGCCACAGTTAGGATGTCCCAGGGTGCAAATGCAGTTTCACAGCCACAGATCCTACCCTGCAAGTGGTTTGTCCTGCAGACACCTGCGGCTGGACTGGGATTTGTTTGCAGGTTAAAACGGTCAGGCCAGAGCAAGGAAATTTCCTCTTGGCCGAGAATGTGCAGGAACCAAAGCTGAGCAGGCTGACAGGTCCCTGTCCAACCCAGAGCAGCAGGAGCAGAGCCACGAGGCCTCCCCTGGATGCTGCACCCCTGCATCCCTCTGCATCCCCTGCATCCCCTGCATCCCTGCACCCCCCTGCACCCCTGCATCCCACTTCATCCCCCTGCATCCCCTGCACCCCTGCATCCCCCTGCATCCCCTGCACCCCTGTCCCCCTTCATCCCCCTGCACCCCCTGCACCCCCTGCTTCCCCAGCACGGCTGATCCCGGCACCAGGAGGGAGCCAAACCCCGCCTGGTCCTTTCTCAGGAGCGCCGTGCCTGTCCCAGGCTCCAGGAGCAGCTTCTGGATTGCCTCACGGAGCCTCCCGCTGCCAGAGCACAGTCCTGCTCATCCCAAACATCCCCAGCTGCATCCCCGCTCAGGCTGCTCACCCAGATATGACTAAGCCCTTCACAAGGGGAAACGCTCAGGGTTTCTTGCTTAATTGGTAAAACAGATTAATTCGAGTACCCAGCACACGGCCAAAAGGAAAAGAGGAATTGACACACCTAGCGGGTTCCTGCTGGGGCTGACGATGTGCTTTAATGGGTGGGTCACGTTTGGGGGTGATTTTGCAGCCCGCAGCTGCCACAGGCTCCCCTCCTGCCCGCCGCACTCCTGCAGCCTGACCGCTAGCGCTTCGGCAGGCTCAAACCAAGGCTGCAAGGGATGCAAAGCAGCAAAGGCCACCTTCAAAGCTCGAGGCTTTGCTGCCACATGTCATGCAAAGGGCCCGTGCCTTCCCCACATGCAGCTCCCACAAGAATCGGGGGCTGCATCTTCACCAAAAGGCCCCTTGGCTCCGAAAGTTTAGGCAGTAAAGCAGGTAAAAACCCGTTCGGATTGCTCCGGTCACGCACGTGTGACAGCCAGGATGCTGGAGGACAGCCAAGAAATCGGGGCGGCCGCAGTGCCAAGCGACCCCCCCGCTGCTCCCGAGGTTTCACTGGAGCCTTATCAGATTTCCTGGTGACTCAGAGCAAGCGGTGACCGGGGAGAAGGGCACGGCCTCAGCAGGGACGGGGGGCAGCCCCTCGGAGCTGCAGAGCAGCGGCCCCCAGCCCCCTCTGTCCCCCCGGCCCAGAGCTGTCCCCTGCACGCCGAGGACAGGCGGAGCAGCTCCCTGCAAGGAGCACACACAGCAGGCACTTTGCTCAGAGAGCTGTGCCTGTCCCCGGGCCGGGCCGGTCCCCACAGCGTGGCTGGGCACCCCCTGTCCCTGCTGGGCCAGCGCAGAGCCCCCTCTGCCCCCCGAGAGCAGCAGCCCCTGCCGCGGATCCCGCTCCCCTCCTGTCCCTGCTCAGATCCCGCTCCCCTCCTGTCCCTGCTCTCAGATCCCGCTCTCCTCCTGTCCCTGCTCAGATCCCGCTCTCCTCCTGTCCCTGCTCAGATCCCGCTCCCCTCCTGTCCCTGCTCAGATCCCGCTCTCCTCCTGTCCCCTGGCACCCCCGACCGTGCTTTGGGGCCTTTGATTCCCGCAGAGCTCCCTGCTCTGTGCAGCCCCTCTTGTGCTTCCCCCCGTGCCAGCCTTGCAGAGCACCCCCTGCCCCTGCACCCCCTGCCCCTGCACCCCCTCTTTCAGCATCGCCCCCTCCCACACACACCCCGCAACCCCTCCTGCTCAGATCCCCATCTCTATCCCCTCCTCTCCCTCTCCCCTCACTCCGCTCCGCTCCGATCACCCCCCTCCCCTGACTCTGCTCCCATCCCATCCCTCTCCGTCTCCCTCTCCCCTGACTCCGCTCCGCTCCCATCCCATCCTCTCCCCTCACTCCGCTCCCATCCCAATCCCCATCCCCTCCCTCTCCGTCTCCCTCTCCCCTGACTCCGCCGCGGCCCTGCGCGCCCTGCCCTGGGCGCTGCTGCTGCTGGGGCCGCTGCTGCCCGGGCAGGTCCTGCAGGCCAACCCCATGCTCACCTCCGAGGGCCAGCCCGCGCCGCTGCCCGGCGGGGACGTGCCGGGCTTCACCCCCGCGCCCCCCGCCGCCCCCGAGGAGATCCACCCGCTGAAGGAGCAGCCGGCCAACGGCTCGGGAGAGGGGCACGCCAAGCACCGCAAAGCCTTCCCGGTCATCGGCATCGACTACACGCACGTCCGCATCCCCTTCGAGATCTCCCTCTGGATCCTCCTGGCCTGCCTCATGAAGCTGGGTAGGTGGGCGGCGTCGTGGGGGGAGTCCGGGGGAGAGGGCCTGGGGAGGGGCCCCGGTGGCCTGGAGAAGGAGGGACCCCCGGGCAAGTGGGACAGAGACCCCCAGGCATCACAAGGAGTGACCCTGGTGAGCATCTGCCAGCAGGGACCCTCGAGCATCCCGGGGTGGGACCCCCCGGGCACGGCAGGACAGGACCCCCGGCTGGGTGGGACAGACACCCCCAGTCATCCCAAGGAGTGCCCCCTGTGAGCATCCCGAGCATGAGGGACCTCTTGGAGCATCCTAGCGACAGACCCCTCTGAGCATTCCAGGGTGGGACCCCCGCAAACATCCCGGGGCAAAATCCGCACATCCGCGAACCTCGCAGGCCGGCTGGGCCGGGTGGGCACTGCTCTCCCCACGACCTTGGGTCTGTCCTGGGCCTGGAGGACAGCGGCATCCCGGCCCCTCCGCTCCCCCAGACTTCTCATCTCCGAGCCTGGCAGCGGGCCTGGAGATGCTCCTGAGCCCTGCTCGGACCAGGTTTGCTTTCCTCCCTTTGACACTCAGGGAGGAGGAACCCAGTTTGCTCACTTCCTCCCTAGACCACAGATGCTTTTTGTAACCTTGGAGAAGTCACTCAGAATGCTGCCGGTGCTCCCCTTCCTCCCGCTCCGCAGCAAACCGGGGTGGCTTTGCCTCTGCTGCAAGGAGATTCCCGCATTAAGGAGAGCGGCTCGGGGCTGGGAAAGTCACCCGCTGGGATGGCTCTGGGAAAGCATCACTCTGCCGGGGCGGGGGTTGTTGACAAAGTGTTTTCCAAACTTCTGCAGCTGGATCAATAGCAGCCGAATTAGCCCAAACCTGTGATGTAAGCCGCTGTGCTGTCCCCAGCAGTGCAGAGGTTGAGCTGGCCCTGCTCCCATCCCTGGTGATAAAGCCGGGGGGACAGGTGAAGTGTTTGCCTTGGGGCAGGTGAGGAGGGCAGGGAGCTCTGCACGCCTTCATTTGGGTCCTCAGTTGCCATCGGTGGTTTAATAGCCCTCACTTATGGGGCGCTCCAGCTTGCTGAGGGAAATCTTGCTTTGGGAGCTTTTTAAAGTGAACTGTGCCCTGTCCTGGTCTGGAGGGGTCTGAGAGCCCCCCAGGAGCTCAGGACTCCTCAGAATACCCCGTGGCGTTCCCTGCGCTGCGAGCGTGCGTGGGCAGGCGCAGCCCCGCTTCCACAATCCCTCCCGAGTGCTTTATTTACGTGCAGGCGGAGGAGTGAGAACACCTCAGAGCCGGAGGCTTGTCTGGGAGACAAGCAGGCTGGGAGCCGTGGGGTTTGTGCCAGGCTCGGCTGGAAGGTGCCTCTCCCCGGGGAAGGCAGCTCTCCTCTCGGGCTCCGCTCTTGCGCTGCGCCTCCAGCAGCTCCCGGAGTGATGAAATCAGGAATATCTGTGCGGAAGCTGGAGCAGAAAGGAGGGGCCAAGGGCCTGCGGCCGTGCCACGGGGAGAGCTGGCAAGCAGCAGTGGGCAGCGGCTCGGGGGATGGAGGGACAGGCTGGGGACAGCAGCAGGCGACGGGAAGCTGCTCCTGCCGCCCTCGCCCGCAGCCAGGGCTCGTTTGTGCTGCGGGAAAAGTTGTGGCTGCCGGCTGTCAGGTCTTTGATGCTACAAGTATTATGCAAGACTGCGCGTTTCAAGGGGTGTATTTTAGGAGAGGCTGCCCTGCAAGTTTGGCAAAGGTGGCCGGTGCTCTGCGGAGCTCCAGAGATGTAGATTATGCCAAAATCCACACCTTAGCTTACCTACAGCTGTGACAGGGCCTTGGCAGCAGGGCGGTCCCGGGACTCCCTTTTCCTTGGCCTCCTTTCCAGCGTTTTGTGTTTCTTGTTCGTGCTGCCTTGGCAGGTAGTTCCCGAGCTGCAGGTTCAGCTCCCTGTGCTCGTGAGCAGCCAAAAACCTCTCACTGCTCTGTGTCCATATCCCAGCGCCGTCTTTCCTGCCCTGGAGCACGGGGTGTTGTTCAGCAGCGGCAAAATACGCTTTTTTCCACGCAGGGGTAGCTCTTACACAGGTGGGCACTGCTGGAATGGCAGGATGGGGCTCACAAAGCTCCAGGCTCCCTGAACCAGACAGGGTCTGCAGCATCCCACTTCCAGAAAGAGAGAGCAAGGGGCTGATAAAGAGAACAGGAGTTTGCCGTGCTTCCTCTTTCTCCCCACGCTGTCAGTGTGCATTTACTGATGCATCAGGGTGACCCTGAGGGGGCCAACATCTTTTTCCTGCGGCGTGGGCTGTGCACGAGAGCTCAGCTCCTCCTGGCTGCCCTCCCCCGGCTCCACAGGCCTCCTTGCTGGGCTGAAGCTGGTGATGGAGCCACAGGTCCCTACAAACCTGAGTCTTCAACCCTGAGTCACTTCAGGGTGCTGCCCTGGGGCAGGGCAGGGTGACCACGTCGAGGAGCTCAGAAGTGCTCCCAGGGCTCTGCTCCAGGCCAGGGGATGCAGCCTGACCTTGTCCTGTTGCTCAGTTTCCCCCTGTTGCTCTTGATGCTTTAGGCAGCTCTTCAGACTTAAATGCATCCTCCTGTTGTCCCATCCAGAGGATTTGTCCTCTCTCCAGCAGCTCTCGCTGTGAGTTTGTTTGTGGGACCAAAGGTGTGAGCTGAGCCCTTCCCCTCTTGCTGCAGCTTTTGTAGAATGCCTCAGAGATGCTGGTTCCTGGAGGATTCCTCACCTGACAGGGCACAGGGGGATGTCTCCCCAGCAGGTCCTGCAGGCTTGGGCTGTTCCTGCTTTGTTAATCCCCGTGGAGAAGGGGAAGCTGCTGCTGGCTGCTTTACTTAACACTCACATGATATTTTAAGGCCGTGCAGGGGAAGAGGGAGTGAGGGGCAGCTACAGCCACGTCTGGTGGTGGCATGACTTGGCCAGGAGAAGCCTTTGCAGCTGCAAGTTGCAGCCAGACATTGTCCCAGCCTGTTGTACTGTTGCAGAAGGTCAGAGCTTCCCAAAACACCCCAGTCAGGAGCCCTCTTGCCCTTCTCCATGGTTTTGCAGGGGTGTTGTAAGGGTTCCTTCACACCATGCCCAGGGAGAGGTTGGGAAGCTGAGGGTTTCCCAGCAGGAAAACCTGCTTTCCTCACTCAGGGTTGACCTTTCAGCTCACGTGGCTCCCAGAGACGTTAAGGGGAATTCAAGTTGGACTGTAAATACCTCCTGGTTTCAGGGGAAAGGGAAGGAGTGAGTCAGGAATGTAAATAACAGATTGTGGTCAGCAGTGCCTGAGTGGCTGTGCTGGGGCCCAGCAGGCAGAGCTTTGTGGTGAGCACCAGCTCTCACCCACCTTGGAGAAGAGCTGGGGCTGCCTGTGCCTCCAAAGCCCATGCTGGCCCTTCCTTGTGAAGCCAGAAAGCAGAGAGTGATATTCCATCAGCCACCTTCCACTGGGGCACGTCCTGTTGTCTGTCTGCACCAAATGGCTCCCCAGCCTCCCTGGAGCATCCTGGCCATTTCACCTTGGCTGGAAAGTAAACTCAAGTGTATGCCTTGAGCCCAAGGTTCCTTGGTGCTTTTCCTTCTTTTCTCTGGGAGCCCGTCTCCCCCAGATGGAGAGAGTCTTCATGCCAGGGCCTGTCGTGACAGGACGAGGGGGAGTGGTTTTATGAAGGCAGGTTTAGATTAAGGAATGAAATAATGTCCTCAGAAGGTGGTGAGGCCCTGGCACAGCTTGGGCCTGGGCTGCCCCATCCCTGGCAGTGTCCAAGGCCAGGTTGGACAGGGCTTGGAGCAGCCTGGGACAGAGGGAGGTGTCCCTGCCCAGGGTGGGAGGTGTGGAACTGGATGGGCTTTGAGGTCCCTTCCAACCCAGACCATTCCATGATTCTGTGGCTCGTGGTGCCCACCAAGCTGCTCTATCACTCCCCTCCTCTGCAGGAGAAACTAGGGTGGAAAAATCCTCATGGATCGAGATGAAGGCAGCTTGGTAAAGCAAAAGCAAAGGTCATGTGCGGAAACAAAGGGAAACAAAAGATTTATTCTCTACTTCCCATCAGCAGATGATGTCCAGCCACTTCCTGGGAAGTACCTTCAGGAGCACAGCGGCTGCTCCGGAAAGCAAACGTCCTAGTTAGGCCTGCCCACCCTCTGTTCCTCTTTCCTCTTTGCTTTGTGTGGCGTGCCATGTCCCTCTGGTCAGTCTGGGACAGTCCCAGCAGTGTCCCCTCCCAGAGTGCTGCCCAGCCCGGCTCCCGGGAGTGTGGGGGCAGCTTTGATGCTGTGAGTGTGGCTCAGCTGAAGCACAGGGTGTTCTCAGCCCCTTCCAGCCACCACAGAGGCTCTGCACTCAGGGCTGCTGTGGGGCAGAGGAGCTCCAGCTCAGCCAGACCCAGGGCGTGGGGACATCACTGCCCGTGTCCCCACGCCGGTGCCGTGCTGGGGTCCCAGGAGGCAGCTGAGCTCCTTCTCTCGCCAGACGCTGCTCGCTGTGGCAGTCACTGAGTCACTGCTCTGTGTCTCCTTCCCCCTTGGCAGCTCTGCTGTGGCTGGGGTGTTCCCTGCCCCTCCAGACCGAGCGACGGCTGCCAGCGCCAGCCTGGCTCTCACAGAGCTGTCCCCGGCGTGTGCCTGGTGGGCTGCTGTAAAACGAGCTGGGGATGGAGCTGTGCTCAGGGCCCAGAGCCGGGGTGGGTTATGTGGGGACACGCTGGTGCCTGGGGAGGTTTGGTGTCACAGCTCAGCCCGCTGTGCCTGGTGACACTGCTGTGGACAGCACCGGTGGCCCCCAGCACTGCTGCTCCTGCAGGGGACCAAGATTACAGCAGCTCTCGGGGCCTGCGAGCTGGTGATAGCAGCTGGGAGAAGAAGGGCAGAAGCTGAGGGTGCAGGTGGGGTTGTGGAGCCCCAGAGAGGCTCAGGGCATGGGGATGGCTCCTGCTCCTGGAGGAGACGAGACGACTTCAAAATTGCCAGAGAAACGTGTGTAGAACTGCTGGCTGGCAGCGAGATTTGGGTGCTAAAACTCTTGGCTGCT